TTCAGCCATGAGGAAGTTCAGATGATTCTTTGTGGAAATCAGTCACCATCTTGGGCAGCTGAGGATATTATCAACTACACAGAACCTAAACTTGGCTACACACGAGATAGGTGCCTATTAGTCTAACCTTGTTTTTAACATCACTTAAGAAATACGTATAATGATAACATCCATATATTCCTTACATGAAGATTCTAAATTGGAGGGACTGCTGATCAGCATGAAGACCATGTGGAACAAACATGGCAGTGGATGTAATCTTTGTATTTTTCCAATAGATAGTCTTAATTCTGGATGAGGAGTTTGAGGTGGTGGTGACAAAACAGAAAAATGAGATTGACATTCAGAAGAGTAGGTTAATAGAACCCCAATGTTGGCTTCTTGTCACAGAGATAACATTAATTTGGTTTTATTTTTACCTATATGGTGTCTAAATTGTAATTCATTTGTGGATTGTCCTGGAATCAATTTTTATTTCTATTAAGGAAGGCTGCTAGGAAGAACCCATGCAGTTTTGTGAGCTCCCACAGCTGGTTTTGCAGGAGTAGAATACAAATTAATTTTTCTTAGGTGTATTGGTGTTATAGTACTGAAGATGCTGTGTAACAGGGGTCATCTGTATACCCATTCTCTGAGCAAGTATGAGGACCTTATTAGCATATGCTGACTGATGCACTTCTAGATCATTGTCAGGGTGCAGTTTGTTAACTCTGTCATTGATCTAAAGGAGATGGGAGTGTCTCTTTGTAGGGAACCAGGGTTTAAAACAGTGATGTCTGTAGGGAAATCATGGGGGAGAAATTTTAGGCTGAGGTTTATGTTTTAGTTGTTGTTTGAGTTGCCAATAAAGTGAAAACACAGGAAGTGGGTATGTTTGAACACTGAAGGTTGAATTCTCAGTTACACAAATGCCCCTTTGCACCACTCTGGTGGTGTGAAATGATTTTAAAGTGTCCTTAGTGTAACTGAGACGAGGCCCAGTATGTGTGGATTCTGTTAAGAGCAGGCTTGGAACTCTGCCTAACTACCAATTCACACATAAGGAATAAATGGAGATCTGTTACTTCCATCTCCAGCAGTAACATGGAGAATTGATATGTCCTCCTGTAGGTTTTGCCATGTAACATCTGGCAAAGAAATTTTTAAAAAATATCATTTTCATCTTTTTCTTTCTTATAAATGCTTTCTGCTTAATTCAGTAATGAATTGGCATGAATATTTTAAACCAACAGTTTCCCTTTAAGTTTGTGTAAAGACATTGGGTTAATGTCTCAAGTTACAAAATTCTCTTTCCTTCATCACAAAGATTTTGTTGGTGTTCATATATGTTTAAATTTTTTTTTTAGTCCTGGATTCCTTCGATTTGTGAGAGTTTTGTGTGGTATGTCTTCGGATGAAAGAAAAGCATTTCTCCAGTTCACTACTGGCTGTTCAACACTCCCACCAGGAGGACTGGCTAACCTACATCCCCGGCTCACTGTTGTGCGCAAGGTATAGGCTCTTCAGGATACCTCTGAACTTAAGCTTTTTGCTTACAAAAAAACGACATCTGCCACTTAAATAAAACACACTGTTAATCTTATAGTTCCTCATCAACACTCAATATTTTCTGTTAGCCTTTCAATGCTAAACTCCACTCCAACTCTGTACTCTCGTATATATTCTCATAAAAAGGAACTAAGGAAATGTGTATGTAAACTAAGTACACTTCAATCTCTCCTAGCCTTTATTTGGTTGATACCCCCATCCTTTAGCATCTCATTGTTTTTACGTATGAAGTAGAGCTGGGTGGGAAACAGTTTTCCCATTTTATGAAAATTTTCAGAGATTTCAAAAAATTTCCCTTTTCACATTGGGGCAAAACTGAAACCTTTTGACATTTTTTCATCAGAATTAAGAGAGAGAGAGAGAGTGCGCACCATCCCAGAGTATCTAGTAGCCCAGTGGGAGAGGAAACCACCTGATATGTGGGACACTCGGGTTCAAGTCCTTGCTCTTGCCTGATTTAGAATAGGTACTTGAACCTCGATTTCCCACATCCCAGATGTGTACTGTAATCACTGGGCTATTTGGTATTCTGGGATGAGTTCCTCTCTCTCTCTCCCTCCCTCCCTCCCTCTCTGACTACAAATTCCTGGACCTTGGAAACCTTTCCAAAGAGAGTTACACTAAAACTGATACATTCCTGCAAAAAGTTTCAGTTGTGGCAATTTGGAATTTCACAACAACAAAATCTGTGAAAAAATTCCCAACCAACTCTAGCATGAAGTGGAGTGTAAATTTGACAGAGGAGAAAGGACCTATGTATTTTTATCATGTACGTATAATACAATAAACTATAGCAGTACATAAATAATAATCATCCTTCCCTATTCTCAGGTTGATGCTACAGATGCAAGTTATCCATCTGTGAATACCTGTGTGCATTACCTTAAATTGCCTGAGTATTCCTCTGAGGAGATTATGAGGGAGCGCCTGCTAGCTGCTACTATGGAAAAAGGCTTTCATCTCAATTGAATTGCTCTGTGCAACATGGGACATGAGAAACTGTTTGGTATTAGTGAAGCCTCTTGTGTTTGTGTGCAGAAAATATGATCTCCACGCTGTGCTCTGATAAGACTTACCTTTTTTCCACCTGTGAGGCTTTAGGAACACGTGGAAAAAGTTTGTTAGCTGCTAATGACAAAACAAATCCCTGTAACTACACAGCCAGCAAGTAAATGGCACAGAACACTGTGTGATGCTTCAAGGGCTTGCACGACTGGAAATTAAGGTGGTTCTCTTTGACTGTTCCAAAGAGCAGATCTGCAGATTTTCAGTGTTCACTGATATAAATTTCTAAGTGTATTTGTGTAAAGTTTGTCATTTAATACCTTGTACACTACAGTTGCCATCACTGATCCCTGTTTTGCTGGCTTTAGACTAACTGGTCAAAAACTTGCTTCCTTAAATCTTAGAGTTAATGGGCATCACAAGCTTTTTTTTTTTTCAATGGTGCTTGCACTATTGGCGTATTCTAGTGTTGTTTTTTCTTGGGGGGGGGGTTGTTTTTTGTTTTTGCATATAATCATGCACAAGTTTTTTTTTTCCTTTCAACTGGGAATATATTTTGATTTCTTAAATGCCCTGCTATAAAGATCAAATCCTTAAGTGTGTTTGTGCAGCTCAACAATAAAGCTATTAAAAAACAAAACAAAACACTGGTTCCTGGTGCAAGGCACACTTAAAGCAAGTTTTACTTTTGGTTGTACTTTCCTTGTATATTATAAACATTTATTTAACTTGTTGCAGTTTGAAATTTAAAAAAATTTCCAATGTGTATGCTCAACAATAATCATTAAAATGTTTGCAGCGTACAAAAGTGTCTCCTCTGAATATTTCTCTCATACTCCTCAAATATTAGTTACATAGATTAGATACCTTATTTTGATTTGGTCAAATGTAAGGGTTCTGAAAGCATTACTTTTGAAGAAATGTGGCTTATTTTTCTAAGTTTAAGAAAATAGAAATTGGGGTATAAGAGCAAATAAGTGACCTGTTCATTAGGGTGTCCGTTGGCTAAGCCAGGGCGTTCAGAGTTTTGCAGTGTAACTTTCTGAGAACTAGCACAGTGCTGTTTCAGTATTTTTCAGACATGATATGAATGATACTAAGTTTGCATATTGCATCAGGGTGAATGACTGTACCCCACAAGATGCAATTGATGTTTTTTGAGGGTGCAATGGCTGTCTTGATTGAACCATGTATTGTAATTTTGTTATGGTGGTCAGTGACTACTTATAAAGGTGAAGTAAATAAGATGTTATTACACTTTTAACAGAAGTGTCTTGAACCAATCAAAAGCTTGTAAGAAAAATGCATATTTTTCAGTCCCCTTCATTGAACAGTCTTCAGCAGGGGGTGTTTCCCATCTTCAGATCAACTGCAGACAGACCAGATCTGTGCTCTGAGCCTGGGCTTGCCTCTCAAAGAGCACTCCCCAGAATTCTAGCCTCCAGTTAGCACACGTGCAGACTCTAGGGCTCCCTTTTGGAGAAGAGCTTTCACAGGATTTTTTAAAGTGTTTTTTGTTTTTGTTAACTGTTTCCTCATTGGTTTAGAGGGCTCCTTCCTCAAAACTGCTACGCTCAGGTCCAGAAGTTTTTTAAGGAGGGTTTGAAGAACAACCCTTTTCCTCCCCCACCGCTCTTCTGAGAAATGGCAGACACACAGTAGACCACAGGAACCCAGCTCACAGCTGGCGTGTGGGCAGCTTCCCTGCAGAGATGGTTGAGCAGTCCCCACTGGTGTACTGAGACAGTTCAGCGGGCCTCCTGGAAGCTCCTTTCACCAAGTCCAGGGCAAAAATCAGTGGCATGGAGACAGGAGTAAGTAAGGAGTGAGGGTCAGACTATCTGACAGGGAGGGTGCTAGAATGAAAATTCTATGCAGCTGATTGTACTTTTACCATTACCAAATGGCTGTCTGGTGTAAGAACCAATGGGACCTACCTTCAATATGATAGTCTAAAAGGGAATGAAGATGGATAGTTTAAATATGGAGGTTTTCACCTCAATACCAGTCTGAACCTAGTTTACAGTACGAGGTGATTAGAAAATGAAAGTAATTACGAATTGAGTTCTTTAGAGACTTTTATGAAAGATGACGGACAGTTGTCCATGTCACAGTATTTCACTTAAAGACCAGTCATTGAGCTCTCTTTTACTGCTCCTAAAGATTTATAGATTAGTTTGGGTACATTTGGTCAGTACTAGGAAACTTACAAATCTGAGGCGCCTCTTCTGTAGATTTTATTCAAGACTTGGACAAGCAATGAATATAAAACATCTAATGGTAGGCTGAGGGTTGGGGGAAGAAAAGCTGTGATGATTGTGATCCCATTACTAACAATTGTGTGTGCTTCCCCAGCTGGCAGTTCTTTACACTGTGATGCTGCAGATGTGAAAGAATACTGGTATTACCAACCCGAAACTGACGTGTAAGTGGAAAAAATACCATAGTGAAAAGGAGAACCTTTATTTTCAAGTTTATAAGCAAAATACTAAAACATTACACTAAGAAAATTAAACTACTAAAGGAGCAACTTCCTTTTGGGTATGATAAAGAACAATTAACCGTTGTTTTACCATTCTGATTCTTTTATTAACATCATCGAATTAAGTGTCCAAATAGTTTAGTTACAACTGCCATAGTATTCAGGAACCTTTATTACAGCCATCACTGCAGTATTTGAGTGAACACAAACTTGACACTCGGTTCTATACAAAAGGTTATAGGATAAACCTGTTCTTGTGCAGACTGAACCTAGTAGAAGATTGGTCGTATCGGTACAGAAGTTCAAGAGCTTACGATACATACTTCCGAAAACAAATTTGAATGATAATATGGTATAAAGTATTAAAGCAAGATCTGAAACAACTTTGGAATTATACTAATATTTTCTAACTCATCTTCTCCATCCCTTATTTCTGGAATGAAGGAGGTGAAGCCTGGTCCATACCTAAAACTTAAGTTGACCTAGCTACATCACTCAGGGCTGTGCAATATAGTTAAGTCTAAACTCCACTGTAGACACAACTAGGTCCCGCCTCTGAAGTAGGTGGATTTACTACTGCAGCTGAAAGACCCTTTCTGTTGCTGTAGTAAATGTCTACAGTACAACGGCGTGTCTACAGCTGTGCTGCTGTAGCGCTTGTAATGTAAACATACCCTGAGATGCATAGCCACAGACATACAAGGCTTCATGAATATTTTTCCCCTAACAGAATTACAAATACTAAAACAAAATAGTTACTTTTTAGAAAGACAAGTGCTGTGTCAACTGACATTTGCCTCTTTGAAAAAGAAGTTCCTGTTGGTCCCTCCTCAGTCCCAATTTTTACCTTTACGTTGGCATGGCATATTTTGTTCTAGGGTTGAAGGAGAAAGGAAGAGGGAATATGCATTAGATTTCTTTGCTTTAGTATGTTCCAGCCAGTTGAAAATACTGCAAGATTTCACCTTCGGAAGTCTCAGAAAATAGCTGTAGGGATGTTTGTGAGGTTTTCAGAACGCTTTGTAAAATACGTTCTTCGGTAGGCTTGTTTCTTTCTAGCTTTCTGCCACTTTGTCAAGAACAAATAGAGGTGCAAGAATTCTATTCTTGTTGGTTTCCACAATGCAGCCATTTAACACCATTTCATCCAAAATTATATGCACTCGATCCAAGTTGAACATTATCTAGAAACATTTCAAGTTAAGTAATTTTTACTTAAGGTATTGAACAGTGTGAAGACTAATTCAGAAGAAAATCTTCACTGCCTTTGTCGCAAGCATTTAATGTTCTCAACCCTCTTCTCTGATTAAAACTTACAAGTGTGGGTATTTGTAAATCTGCACTTTGAGATTAGGTTAAATTTTTTTAGTAGCACGAATACCCATGTCAGACATAATGTTTTTCACCTTCTTATTGTGTTAGTCACATGTTGAAGTGTCAGTGGGAACGGATAACTGCAGTTGTCTCTCTTAGAGAAGACGAGGCACTGAAAGCGCAACATAATTTGAACAATTAATATCTGGACAAATTTTTTGGATAGGCTTGTCTGAGTTCACTGCTGGATTTTATGGAAAGAATAGTTTCTGCTTACTACAGATACAAAATGCAATCAGTAAGATACCACAAACTTGACTGTGACTATGAATAATGCTAAGGGTATGTCTACATTGCACCTGGGAGAGTCCCTCCCAGCTAGTGTAGACAGACACACTAGATGTTCTTGAGTTAGCATCAAGGTTGCAGTGTGGATGTTGCAGAATGGGTGGTGGCACAGGCTAGCCATCTGAATACATAACGATCATGTTGCTAGTTTTAGTGTGGTGTTAGAACTAGTGCGGGAGAGGCATGCTCTCAGCTGCAGTGTAGACAGACCCTAAAAGCACATTTGTGTTACTCTGCATTTCCATTAAACAAGATAATTCTTAAGTCTGTTCACTTCTGACTGATACCAGCATTTTCAAGGCTGACCATTGTGTATTTTTTTCCCCCTCCCGTAACACCACTTATTTGGCCTAATGGAAAAATCAAGTTTCAAACTTGTCTAGTTTTATAAGCTGATATGTTATTAGTCTATTGTAATTTACACAGAGGATAGCTAAGAGTGATTTCATTAATTTACACTCCTTTGTTAAGGAATAGAATTTAATAAAGGTTTCATTTTTAAAATGATTTTAAATGTACTTAGCACCTTCAAGATTTGCCTAGTGAAATGAGGCAACTGAAAGGCAAAAATCTGAAACTATACAAATGTGTGTCCTTTTGAGCCATATGAAACTCCTCCATTAACGTATCTTAACTGCTTTGGCCGTGGCAAATAAATAAGTTTTATACCAGCAAAAAAGTGTTCTAAACACACCAGTATTCATTGAACAAATGTGATGTGAGAAAAGTGGGGGTTAAGTAAAACACGTCCTGCTTTTCCTATTTATCTCTATTCTGTTAAATAGAAATTGACATTAAAAACTACTTGGTATCATGGCTGTCTCCATGATTCAGCACAATCTACAGGGGAAGAAGTTAAACCTCTCTTCTGCCTTGTCCCCACCTGTTGCTGCTCTTCAGTCTTTCCCTCTGCTCAACAGATCAATCACAGTTTCAGTTTCACTCCTTGTAGTTCTTGGCTGTATGTTGGGGATTCTGTTTATTGCAGTGGAGCCAGAAAGAAACTTCACATTCCAATTTGCAAACACATCTTTCAACAGTTTGGGGATGGTGGTTTTTTTTGTTTGGTTTGGTTTTTTGCACCTTCACTACTGCCTCCTGGAACTTGCTTGCCATGAATGTTGTTTGATAGTATGGCATGAGCTCAGAAAGACAGGTGGTCAGATTTAGTTCTATTACTCTGCATTCACACTAGTGGAACTCCACTGTCTGTGTACTCGTTCTGGCCCAAGTTTTCAAAGCTACTTAGGGTATGTCTACACTAAAAATGCTACAGCAGCACAGCTGTAGTGCTTCAGTGAAGACACTCTACAGTGATTGGAGGAATGCTGCTGCTGCTGTGGTTAATTCACCTCCCCTAGAGGCAGTACCTAGGACAATGGAAGAATTCTTCTGTCTACCTGGCACTACCTACAGTGGGGATTACGTTGGCATAATGACAATGACGTAGTCTCTCTGGGCGTGTGGATTTTTCACACCCCCACAGCGATGTAGCTATGCTTATGTAACTTTTCAGTGTGGACCAGGGGCGTGGATCAGCATTCACATCACACTCCCCATCACTACCAGTCCCAGGCCAGGGAAACTAATGATCCAAGCAGACAAAATTCGGTGATTAATCCTGGTCATGTGCCACTTGAGGCACATTGTGCATACGCTAAGAAATGTAGATTAGCCCTAAATCACTTAGGTCTTGCAGGCGAGTGGAGCAACACCTACATACCTTTAAAATCTGGACCTCTGCATTTAATTTAGCCTATGCAGCTTGCAGGCTACAGAAGTTGTTGTAGCTGGCTCTCCATATGATACTTTTCAAAGAATGTCACTACCTTGCAAGGAATATTTTAGTGTGGAAACAGTTACAGCATGAGTACAATAATTTGGAAATTTATGGAAAACAGAATTAACCATTCTTAAGTTCCCATTCAGCATCACTACTGTGATGCAATGCTGTACGTGTAGGAAGGAGGGCCTATTAAATTCAGATATTAATCTACAGAGCTTCCATGAATAGTCCTAAAATGCCACTACAAACTTTTTAAATTTTAACTTTGTACCAAAGCCAAGTCATTTACACTGTCTGACAGAACTCTCATGGGAAAAACCCATCCAATCTTTAAAATAGCAAGACCCACACACAGAGCTCCTAGATCCTAAAATTTAACAGGGAAAATATCCCAAGTGAAACCAGGTACAGGAAGGAGAACTCACACTCTCTAGACCAGTTTCTCTGGATTACCCTCCCTGAAAATAACACACATCAGAGTGAGATCAGTGATTAATTTCTGAAAGTGTTTGTATTACCCCCCGATTTTCCAAACCCCAGGTGCCTTGTAGCAGGTTCACTCACAGATAGCGTTAGAGAAGAAATTTCAGCTTGTTTCAAAATTAATGGCATTGACTTTCCCTTTTAAGTTAGCATTTTAAAAAAGCTAAAATATACTTAATGGCTAGAGGCACATTTTTGTTACAGGGAATGAAGTGGTGTCAATCTTTCCACCTGTAACATGCTAGCCCCGCCCTGTGAGGCAACATTCCACAGCTACTCAGCCCTCATTCCACCAGCAGTTGTCTCACCTGTGGCCTGAATTTGGCTAGCAGCTACCATTCCAGAGAGATTGCACACCTTGATTCTGGTAAATCTCCAAGCTTCCTTTGCAATTCTATTCCCACCTTATTTTCCCATGCTGCTCCTGGCAAACATTCAGCTTTAGACAATGAGCAATCTTGGCTCATTTCTCCTTTCCTGCAAGTCTCATGATGCCGGTCCTCTGCTGTTACATCCTTCTATACACACACTTAGACATTTCATTCTGACTGTACCCAGGCCACTGTGGGGACATCTGTCTATCATCTTCCTAGCTCTTCTACACCAGCAGCCCCCCTCCTGCTTGGCAAGAGACCCACACAACAGGGTGTAAATCATCCAACCTTTGGATGAATCCTGCATCAAGAGAAGAAAGTAAATCTACCAGATCAACGAGTGTGGGGAAAGGCTGGGCAAGGTGTGTACTTTGACATCTAAATCTAGCTTAGCCTTTACTAAAGGGCCACTTCCAGTGACGTTCCTGCTCTATTGCGCATAAATGTCTGTGTAAAAGTCTTGTATTAGTAAGACTGCAGCTATGCATTCAAAGACTTAAAAAACCTGGGGAGAAGGGGAAATTTTGTTAATTTTAACATATAAATAAAGCTCTCTGATTTCAATGGAAGTTAGGAGCCTAAATACCTTTGGGGATCTGGGCCATAATGTGCTGATCTGAAGCACTCATAATAAATTATAGGTCGATATATATGCTGAGTTCCATGTATCCTAGCCTGTAGGGGAGGTGAGTTGTATGGGCCCTGGGAGCCTACCTGCCACCCTGGAGCGTCCCTGCCTACCCTGAGCAGCGGATGGCTGTCCCCTGCAGCTCCATGCTGCGCTGCTGCTGGCAACAAGGGAGCGGTGCTGGGGGCAGGCTGAGGCAGCTGCTGCACCTGCAGGGGAAGGAGGTGCATGGTAGCGAGGTACTCTGAGGGTGCGGGGCTTATCTTGGCTGGATCTCCTGAGCAGCAGCTTGGGGGAGGGGCTTGGGTGTGTGTCGTGCTGGGGAGGGCTCCCCCACAGCTTGCTGCGGCTGGGGGGAGTTCTCCTTTCTGCCCCCCCCAACCCCGGGGCAGCCTGCCTGCTGCACCCCAAACTCCTCATCCCTGGCCCAGCCCCAAGCCCCACATCCAGCACCCAAACTCCCCCCCCTACATCCCTCCCTCCCGCAAACTTTTGCCCAGAGCCTGCACCCCAAACCTCCTCCCACACCCAAACTCCCTCCCAGAGCCTTAGGCAGGTGTGTGTGTGGGGGGGGGGAGTTGGGACTTGAACCCATTCTGGGCACCACCAAAAATTATACAAATTTGCCAACCCTGCTAGCCTGCATGTTGAAGAAAAGACCATGCCAAGTATGTAGATACATATTAAGGTTGGTCTCTAGGTGCTGTGCAGGGTGTGACTTGGAGAGCTGCCTCTACAGAGGACCTACTCTCTTCCTTTCTTCTTCTTGTACCTGGCATAAGCCCTATTAGTAAAACTGCACATAAATTAATCCCTTGTAAAAGTAACCTTGCAATAGTGGCACTTTCTAATCCTATTCATGAGTATTTATGGCACACATACTAAAATGAAATAAGTACAATAAATGATCTTGCTTTCCCTCTACCCCTCATCACTTAACCATGCAGCAACAGCGAAATAAGCAGATATGCTTGCCATCTGGCTTTGAATTCTGGCGCATCAAGATGCGGTGCAAATGTATTTATCAAAGAGAATATTTTCTCCTTCACAAGGTGGCACCATTTAAAGTATCTGAGGGTTTTCTTTGATTTGAAGATAGGGGAATGGGTGCACGTGGTCTAAATTGGCAATGAGGAGAAGCCAGTATCTTATGAGCAGCCAGCTTTCCCAGGAACACTAGCAAGTGATCTGCAGACCACAGCTTGAGTACTTAGGTGACACACAATTTGCCTCTAAGTAACTGATGTACAA